AACGATACAACTATTTGACGTGAGTCTTTTGCTAAAATTCATCAAAATGTTTGGTCTAACAAAGTCTCCTAGTTTAGAAAAATAAGAAGAATATCGATTGAAAAGTCCCCGCTGTAATAAGTCGTGGCTTACGTACAATGGTTCTTAAAGATTGGATACAGCGAATTGTGGTTTAAAAGCGGGAAAAATTCAAAGCTTGAGCAAAATGACGTAACTGTGTTTTGGATAGATCTATCTGTCTCTGGATGTACGGAAGGTCAAGACAAATATTTGATTATTAAATTACTAAGTAGAAACTTTCTTATGTTTATTAAAATTTTTGCTTGTGGCTGACCTTTTCGTTCACACTCTTGTGCAATGTCAAAATATCGGTGTAGTGTAGCGGAACGATCAAGAAGAAAAAGATTGAAACCTATTCGAGCGATGTTCTTATAGCACACTAAAGCCAAATTCCACATTTTTCTTTTCCGAAAACTTTGGCCGAGGCAATCATGAATAAGAAATTCAATATCAAGTGAATCTTGATTCAATGATTTATAAATTTTCAATGCTTGATCTTGGTGTGTCCACGCTAAATCGAACTCCCGTGTTTCACTAGTAACGTAACCTAAACCTGCATGACAGATAAGCGGTGATAACTGATATAATAGTGTATAGTATTTTTTCACCGAATCAAAATTATTTTTTGTGTATTTCTGAAGTAGAAATCCAACTTTAATAAATTGAGCATATACTGAGGTTACATTGCCGATACGATCGTATTCACTCGTAAAATATCCGCCACTACAGAGATCTTGTGCCTCCTTATCATTGATTAGTTGTAGTTGAACAATCGAAACACGTTGAACTTCGTCATATTGAACATCGCCGTATTTATGAAATATGGTGCCAACAGTAAACAATGTTTCATTTTCATCCGGCACCGAACTTGAATGTTGTGTTCGCATAGAATTTTCTGGTTTTTTCTTTACCAATTTTCAGCTCAAATAGTACAGATTGTTTTGTCTCATCACTGTCAGTTTGTCCTGCTCCCGCAAAAATATTAAGCGCCAAATCACGATCTGGCGTAGTTGAGAAAAAACTATTTACATATACAAAATGATCGTAACGCGCTTTCTTCAATGTTTCAACTTCTTGTTTTGATATTAATTGTCCCCGATAAAGTTTAGTCCGTTC